CCAAAACAGTCCTCGTTCACACGGATCTGCGAAACCGATTGAAAACGCCGTATTAATCACGCCAGGCCAGTACGCTCCCATAGGTTGATTGAACGTTTAATACACATGATCATGACGTCAGTTTTCACAAATTCATGTTTTTGTAGCTTACACGGAGACTATAACGGCATCGACCCCTAATTCTTAATTCTTCAGGTGGTATTCTCTAATTGAGGGACAAAATAAAGTAATATTTTTAGACCATAATTGCTCAACAACGAATCAAAAAAGACTATACATTGTGCAACACAAACTCAGCGCTCTCATATACATTTTGTCTGTTTTTGGAGATATATATATATATATATAAATATAGGACCGCTGTATTGACACTCCTAACAAAGTTCTAGATATTTAAAGCTACATACAGTTGAGTAGATTCATTAAATCTATTACATACACTTAATACAAGCTGACTGCTTTTTCATCACGTTTAGACTACAAAAAGTAAATAATGAATTAAATCATAAAAAATAAATAATTTGAAATTAAAATCAATCAAATTTATTAAAACATTATTTTAAAAAAGATTAAATATGTTATTTGTTTATGCTGTGCGGCCTCTTCCTTTAGTCGCCTGATAAGTGAGTCTGTGTGAGCAATTTCATACAACTATTGAGAAAGGATAATTGAAAAGATCAAAATTAAGAATTAGGAAGAATCAACGAATTCAGAATAATTTTGTGAATTTTAGTAATCAATAAAAAAGTAACTGCATTCTGATTATGAGTATTTTAAAAAGTAATATCATTTAAAGTACTTACTTTTTGGAATCTGATTACATAATCCAGATTTATATCTAATCAGTTACCCAGCACTGGCTATTTACATAAATATTATTTATAAATACTACAAGGTGCCTTATAGACTAGACAACAGTGCAACACAGCTCAGGAAAAGTGTGACTGTAAAGTTGTGCACAGTACAGGAGACGAATCATTTTCTTGAGTGCACAAACATTGATCCAAGAAGTAATGACAGGAGAAAATCTACAGCAAAAGCATCAAATGATGATGAACTGGCAAGTTATTCAAAAACACTAAAGTTCAGCTCAGGACAATCTCGATCACCTGTTTTTTAATATTAAAGGTTAATACATTAATATTGGTCTTCTATGTGAAAACTCATTGATAGATTACAGCCACAGCTCAATGTTTCTCCAGCACTAGCAGCTCCAATAAAACAACACAGCAATTTAATAAACCAAATCTGACAGTCTTGTCATAAATGTGAGCGATTTCTACTGCAACGAATCCAGAATCTTGTCAACAGACACAAAACTTTGAATTAACTTTCAGTTTTCTATTGGTGCACATACTGGATACGAACGGCTAAAACCAAGCAGAATTCCCAACATTCATTCCTAGCTGTCAAAATAAATCATCTTATTTTTCAAACCCAATAACATATCTCAAAAATTCTGTTTAAAACACAAAATATTTCAAATATATTAATTTTCTATAAAATTTATATACGAGTTAGACAGTTTTTTTTTTGTTTATAAAAAGAGGTTGTTTCATTATGTTTTTTTATAAATAAATATATAAACAAACACATGTATGAATATTACTAGCTACATCGAAATATATTCAAAGATTGAGCATTGCAAATGTTTAGGATATTTGTTTATGATCATATTAATCTCATTAGGACCTTAATTTGAATATCCTTTACATTCTCTTCAAGTCAGAGTTAATTACCAGTAAACGAGCATTGAAACTCTTCACCTTGTTAATGAAAAGAATATTGAGATGCAGGTAAAGGCCTTTACATTTCAATAATTAATTTCTATTCCCATCACGCGACCATCTAGTTATGAATATTTTGATAACGATTCTTTTGATTATAAATGGTCTCTGAGTGTCATTCAATACAGAACTGTATTGTTTGCTCTTTACTTTGACAGATGCTCCAACATAATTCTCATTAATGAAACTATTCTGATGTCTAATAAGTGCTCTAGACGTGTCTGATCAGGTTTGCTTTCTAATTTAGATGTTTATATTATTTACTTGGCTTGATGTAAATATGTTGAGCGTATTGCTTTTTCTGTCAGGCGGTTAATGAGGGTTGCTGTAGTATGACTATTGTTTACTCTGATGGCTAACAAGTTTTGCTCTAATATGAGAGTATTGTTTATTCAAGTTGTTAAGGATGATTCTGGTATGATTTTTCCTTCTCTGACAGATCCTGAAAGCGGTTTTACTCTAAAAGCACAGTGTTGTTGACTCAGATAGAAGGTGAATGAGGTTTACTCTGAGAGGGCAGTATTGTTTACTCTGGTCTGCGGAGCTGCAGGCCTGTATGACTCTTATCTCCGGGCTTCGGGCTCAGCTCCACACCTACATATCCAGACAAGACCCCTGGACCGGTTGGGTCTGTTTAAACGGCCCGTTTTGGCCTTTCGCTCGCAAACCTTCCGAACCGCGGATTCGCCTGAGGGGCCCGCACCGAGCTAACGCGTATGCTAACACTGAGCGAGGGCTGCACAACACCGATAACCTTTCGAAAAGTCCGAAGCACGTCTCACCCCGACACCTGGCTACTGTGCTCCCCGAACTCGGAACCAGCGAGACGGGTCTGGCGCGTTTACCTGAGGCTCTGTTGTTGGAAGCTGAAGGTGGAGGGGTTCGGGCTCGCTGTGTCCCTCTCACAACAATAATCCGGGTCGCACCGCTTCCTCTCACTGCGAACATGAAGACGGACGGGCGGCGGTCGTTCCTCTCGTAAGCGCCCGCGGAAGCTCGCACTTTACTCCGGACGATGGCAGAAAAGATTCGGTTCCTAAAGGCTCCTGGGCGCTCATAAAAGAATCCACACAGACTCACTCTCTCTCTCGCAGAACAAAATGCCGACCGGAAGCACTGCTGCAGGAATGACTCCCTCCACCGGCGCCGAACCAACCAGCAGCGACCCGCCGACTTCCGCTGCCTGCTCTCCTCCCCTTCCCTGCTTCCCATCCTCTCTCCTCTATCATCCTCCAGTCTGCTTCTATCGCCCTCCTCTCTTCTTCTCTCTGTAATTCAAATATCTGAGATGTGTGTGGTCATTAAACGTGTATAAATGTGTATATAATTAACGTGGAGCCTTATAAGCAAAATACACTTTTCTAATTAAGGTAATTAAGGAAAACCATTGGTTTTTTTTTTATGAACAAGCGATTTTGGGCTATTTTGCTTCTTTCAGACTTGTGGAAAGGAAAAATCCAAAATACACATTTAGGAGTTTATTACAGTAGCCTATCACACTTGATCTCTTTGTGTCTGTAGCCTAATATTTCAATTACATATGTTCTCAAAATTATGTTTTTCTCATGCAGTGATCTAGAAATGTATGGTTTTTAGAGGGGTTTGTTCATGACATTCTCCTGATTTTTATACTGTTGAAATCATTATCTAAAATCCCCTGTAGCTATATATAAAAACTTTGAACTCTGGTATGTCACCTAAATTAATTTTGAACCTGGTTTTATCCAAAAATCAGACTTGTGTCTGTAAATAAGCAAATTAGTTTACATGCTTTTTTTATTATTAAATAACGCCCCATTTGCCCGTTTAACATAACATTTCAGAAAACCTGTAATATAAAATGTAATGTCTTAATTTCCCGGGATTAGGCTAATTAACTGGGGAAATATGATATCAATTAGTTAAATATACTTACCCTATTCACCAGTGGTGTCTTGCCATAACTTTTTAACTTTTTGAATTGATAAAACTAATTAAAATCAAAATGTTTTGATGAATGAAAATGTGTGTGAAGGTAGATATTACACAAAGATTTGACTGAACCTACTCATTGACGGTGTGTGTACTATGGTACAGGCATCTGGATCTGAGATCAATATCGCCCTCTCACGGTCCTAAACTAATATTTCAGGCATCATAGTGTTTACACCACTCTGAATATTTCACAATCATTTCATATTTTATTCTGAATATTTTTATTTCTGTATAAGCTCATGCCATAATGTCTTGGCTACAAAAAAAAAAAAAAAAAGCTTTTAAACATTTCCACCAGGGACCAAAAGATGCAGTTCCCTGAACACCCGTTGGCCTTATGTGACAACATTCCCCAATGACAAGACATATTGTCACACCATATGGGGCTGATTATCACTATGAAACCTGCAATTAAATAACGGTTACAATGTTTTAGCCTGATTTGAGCCGTGAAAGAAAGAAAGAAAGAAAGAAAGAAAGAAAGAAAGAAAGAAAGAAAGAAAGAAAGAAAGAAAGAAAGAAAGAAAGAAAGAAAGAAAGAAAGAAACTATAAAAAGGTAATGAAGAAAAAATGTCAAGTCATTGTTCTTGCCAGCAATTATTGTAAATAATAAATTGTATGCACAGAATTACGGAATATCTTCTTTTGTGTTCAACAAAACACGGGTTTGGGTAAATTCGAGAGTGAGTAAATGGTGAGAGTCAGATTTTTCCTTTTTGGCTGAACTGTCCCTTTAAGGAAAACGTTTGCTTGCCTCACACTTCAGTGGCTTCAAGTGTGAAGTGTAGGCTAGTTGACTTCAATGAAGGCACATAGATGTTATTAAGACATCATAACAGAGACAAGCACACCTTTTCCTTAACTTATTAGAGCTTTTTAATAACAATTCGGCTTATAATGCATTAAAATACACCTATCAACTGCTAGAATCCTAATGAAATTGGTTCCTGAAGAAATTTGACCACTAGATGGCAGCATAAGTCCATTTTGAATTATCCACTACGTTAGAAGTTTACGTTTCTTGTCGATCGTTTTAATCTTTACTTCATTTGCAGAAACTATTAATAAAAAATCTGGCCTTTTCTTAATAAATAAATGTGAATATATTAATTATATTTTACATTCTATTCATGTTTAATTAAGATTAATTCTCCAATATCAAAATTTTGGAAAGTGTGAAAAATAGGCTATAATAAACCACAGCTACTCACCTATCATTAATCAAAATTCCAACACAATGCAGCATCACCTCTCTCCATTTTATTCAAAACTATATTTAACACACAACATGCATTTCTCTATAGTTCTAATCACCCATTTTGCTTTTGAGACAGGAAATATACAGCGACATGAAAAAATTTAAAGAAGGCAAATATAAGATCACAGTTTCCAGCCGTACATGTCAGTCTACAGCATGTTTTCAAAAGATTTATATTTTCAAAATGACTTATGTCACTGCAATCACAAGACTGTAAACATTCAGTCCCTTTTCCTACTATTAATATTCAGTAGCACTTATTATTTCTATGTATCATTAATGTTAGCAAATGGCAAGAAAAGGGTCAGTGGATGAACTATAGGAAAATAGAAAACAATAATAAAGTAAATCTCATAAATGCACAAGTGTTTGTTCAGTTCAATTAGTGTGATCTGCAGAGAAAAGTCAAATAGCTGCTGAAACACTGAGGAATATCGATGAGTCTTCTCATACATAAAGAAGATGTGTAAAGCAGCTTTCAAAGCTAAACATAATTTTCACTTGATATTTACAGTAATACATATTTTATACTCCACGTTACAAACAGAGCCCAAAAGTTTTTAATCTTGGTCTCCTCCTCATGTTGGCATAAGTAAAGTGTAATGAACTTGAAGATGACTTGATCACCGACATTCAAATCAGTCTTGTGTACATCCATGACCATGTTCATTTTAACACTCTTTGTGTGACCAACATACAGTACCAATACCCCCCATATCCTACATAGATTCACATTTCAGCTAATTATTAAAATAATGAAAAAGCAATACAAAAAAAAGGAATGGTTATTATATATTTTTGTAAAGGTAAAACTCTCCTGCCAAATCAACCAACAATCGGTATGACCTGGAGAACCAAACCAAAGCAACAACAAAATTACAGTAAAATGAAAAAAGAAGGTTGAAAACAAAAGATTCAAAAACAAAACAAATATATATATATATATGTGTGTATATATGTGTATGTGTGTGTGTACATGGCCCCTAAAAAATATTTGAACACTTTTGGCATGCAAGCAAATGTATGAATTTGATTTCATAGCAACAAAATTTGCATGCATATATATATATATATATATATATATATATGTTATAAAGTCAAGTGTAGTTCATTTCCCAAATTTCCACAATCAGAAAGTGTCCAAATACTTTTTAGTTTGCTTGAATAGCATGCTTATACAATATTTCTTTCAAATAAATGCATTTAGTTTGATATTCTCTAATATAATGCAATTCAATTCTTACACTTAAGTGTTTTCTGGGGCCGCTGTACATATACAGACACAAACACACACTAAATCCTTGGTTGGGCGTTGAACATGCGGGCTCTACATCTTAGTCTCGCTGTCTGGTGGTTTCTCATTCTCATAGTCGTTCTCCTGAGGGATCTTCTGGTAAGGTTTCTTCACTTCGTTCTCCTCCAGCACAGAGCTCCCCAACTCCACATCGCCGCCCTGAAGCTCATCTTTGGACAGGAACTCTATAATTCCAGCTCCTATAGAGTCTCCCAGGACGTTAGTCGTCGTGCGCAGTCGATCCCTGTAAGTGCAACATTTATTTACCTGTATATTTCACCATCAGGCAGTAATATATCAGCGATACTTGATTGGTCGTCAAAAAAGTTTTCAACTTTCAGCTCAGTTTTTATCCTAGTTTAAATCGAGGCACTTTTAGCTGTGTAACTTGTGGGAAAGGGGATCTATCTGGAATGATTAATTTGGCCAACCTAATTACGTTTCTATGTAAAAACCTATTGAATTACATGAAATGCATTGAAAAAATGGAGCAAGTCTAATGGGAACGGATCAAAGTATGTCACCTGGGTTGATAATGAAAAAAAGGAAAGAAAAGACGGGAGTCCCGAATATGTGCCAAACTCAATCATTTTAGCAGAAGATTTTGCAAAACACTTCAAATTAATATATTTTTGGCATTGTTATTCCCTTTTTAAACCATATCAAATCACGCTTCTATAAGAGGTCGGTTACAGGAACCAATCAACTGCAATGGTGAGGGTGATGTCATCGATTGGTAGTCTGACAGAGGTCAACACAATCACAATCAGAAAGCGTCCAAATACTTTAGCTTGCATAGCATGTAATTCTTACAATTTTAAAGGAGTAGTTCACTTTAAAAAAAAACTTTTGCTGATAATTTACTCACCCCCATGTCATCCAAGATGTCCATGACATTCTTTCTTCAGTCGAAAAGAAATTAAGGTTTTTGATGAAAACATTCCAGGATTTTCTCCATATAATGGACTTCAATGGGAACCAAACGGTTCAAGGTCCAAAAGACAGTTTCAGTGCAAACTGTTCAAAGGGTTTTAAACGATTCCAGACGATGAATAAGGGTCTTATCAAGCGAAACGATCACTCAAGTTTTATATTTACAAATCTTTTTTCGTGTCATTTGGTTCATTCAACGAACGAAATGAATGAGTTGACTCGGGAAAAGATTTGTTCATTTTGATGAACGAGTTCGAACAGGAGAGTCACGAACGCGCATCACAGAACAGAACAAGGCGAGCATTTGAGCTTATAAAACTTAAACTTTGTTATTTATTTATTAAATGAGCTATTGTTTCACTTGATAAGACCCTTATTCATTGTCTGGAGTCGTTTAAAGCCCTTTGAACAGTTTGCAGTTTGCACTGAAACTCTCATTTGGACCTTGAACCGTTTGGTTCCCATTGAAGTCCATTATATGGAGAAAAATGCTGGAATGTTTTCATCAAAAATGTTCGATGTGGGTGATTAAATTATCAGCAAAAGTTTCTTGAGTGTTCATATATATTTTTGCGTTGTCATTCCCTTTTTAAATCACGTTTCTATAAGAGGTCACTCACAGGAACCAATCAACTGCAATGATGAGGGTGATGTCATCGGTTGGGAGTCCCACAGAGGTCAGCACAATCACCATGGTGACCAGTCCAGCCTGAGGGATCCCGGCCGCCCCGATGCTTGCAGCAGTGGCTGTGATGCTGCGTCATTAAAAGAAATATCAACATCGTGATGTACATACAGTATCATTCTGTTTTCTTAATGAACGATTTACATATTTAAAATCCCACCTAATGGTAATGATCTGCCCGAAGTTCATGTCCATGTTGTTAACCTGGGCGATAAAGATGGCCGCCAGGGCTTCATACAGCGCTGTTCCATCCATGTTGATGGTGGCTCCGACGGGCAGCACGAATCGAGTCACGCGTTTGTCCACTTTATTGTTCTCCTCCAGGCATCTGAAGGTGACCGGAAGAGTGGCAGAGCTGGGGATGGAAAGTGTAAAAGTGAAACCATAGCACGATACTCACGATTTCGGCAGCTTGGCTTTGTCGGCCCTACCTGGAAGAGGTGCCGAGAGCCGTGATGAGGGCCTGCAGCAAACCCGTGATGAAGATGAAGGGGTTTTTCCGGGTGATGACGAAGTACAAAGTCGGTAGAATGATCATGCCGTGTATCATGAGGCCGATTATCACCGTTATCGTATACATGCCGAGTTGACCGCCCATCTCAGTGATGTCATCCATCTCCACGATTTTTCCAGCAATCAGAAAGAGGATCCCAATAGGTGCATACCTGCGAACAGGACCATCCATTCTCAGTCACAAAAGTAAACTACACAATTATAACGGTGGAAAGAAAACAGATTTAGGATGGTTCAATTGTTAAATAAGGTTTCCTAAAGTGTCAATGAGTCATTCTGACATTTTCATGCAGATGAAAAGGAGGTCATGAAACAAGGTCACAAAAAACGAGAGCACAGGGCACATTTCTGTCCAGACGAAGAGGAAATTCATCTAATTCTATTGTAAGCTGAAGGTTATTATGAGGCATTTCTGTCAATGTGTTATTGGAAGTCACAAAGTTAATCTCAGACATTACTACTCCAATAAACATATAAATAACAATACATTTGAATAAATATTTATTGCCTATTTGAAATTATAATGGTTGATATGGCTCATGGCTGCATTCATTTGATCAATTACATAGTAAAAACAGGAAATATTATTACATTTTTTCTATTTTAAAATGTAATTTATTTCTTTGACAGCAAATCTGAATATTCAGCATCATTACTCCAGTCTTCAGTGTCACATGATCCTTCAGAAATCACTCTGCTGCTCAATAAATATTTCTCAATAATGCTGCTTCATATTTTTGTGGGAACAGTAATATATTTCTTTTCTTTGATGAATATTAAGTTCAACAGAACAGCATTTGTTTAAAATAAAGATCTGTTTTAACATTATACATGCCTTTACAATCACGATTTTACTGAATAAAAGTGTTAATTTTTTATAATAAAATGACTGATCCCTGAACTTTTGAATATTAATATAATATTTTTATTTAAGTGATTTAAGTGATAAAAATGTGATAAAGTTACCAGTTAAGATACACTTGATAACATGTTATGCTCCCTGTTAATGGATATGTTTCAAATAAGGAACGAATATTGGGAAATCCATCCTAGGCAACATTAACGTTCGTTTTTTTCTCTCTCTCAAAGGCTTGTGTGTCTGGGATCACTCACCACATAACAAAAGCAACAAGTTTCATGATGGCCTCGTTGAGGGAGTCGAAGAAGTCTCGGAGAGCCTGTCCCTGTTCCTTCATACTCCCGATGATCAAGCCGAAGCACATTGAAAACACCACCAGCCCGAGGGCATTGACCCCGTTGGTGGAGCCTGGGAGAGGAATCACTTCCTCTTGGGAAATCTCCTGGGTGGCGTTCGTTAGGTTGAATATTGAATCGTTCACGATCATCTTCACCTTAATGATCCTCTTGCCATATTGGGTCTTGAACTACAGGAAAAAAGAGAAGGAAGTAGTTTTAAAAATCAGCAAGAATAAATCAAACTAATCATTGTTTATGATTATTGTTGAACGGAGATATTTTGAGTGATAGGATGAAGGGAAAACATTCATACCTGTTGAGTGCAGGCTTGAACCAGATTAGGAGGAAACATGTTCCTGCAAAAGTAATTCAGCACGTGTTGAATAAAGTACTTGGTTAATATCAGTATTTTGGAGTAAACGATGGGCTGTCGCATTACCTGATGAGGTCCAGGAAGGCATCAGCCGGGCTGATCTTCTCGATCTTCTGCTGTTTGGCGAATTCATCTTTTGAGCCTTTGCCCGGGTGGATAATCAGAACCATAATGATGCCGATAAACACGGCGATGAAAGTGGTGGTCATGTAGTATATCACCGCACGCATGCCCATCTTTCCAGAGGCACGACTGTCCAGAGCTGCCATGCCTACACAGAATCAATACGATTTTAATGAATCCAAATCACTTTTCAATAAATACAACCCTGCAACAAAATCAGGTCTTGTACGAAGATTTTGATACAAAAATCCAACCAGAATTTGAACAGACATGAAAAATGGTGGTGGTGAAAAATTATTAATTTAGCTGGACTATATCGTTTGATCTAAGCAGAAGTCAATTTGCTTAGGCAAGATAACTTATAAATTAAGGTTCAAATTTTGAATGAGTCCTCTCTGCGGTCCTGATCCACAGACCAGAGGAGAAAGCAGCCATTGTTCGTCCTGGGGGCCCAAACTCCAGAATCTTTTAAACTCCAGAGCCTTTTAAGTTTGTTTCTGTTCACACTCTATGTCTCTCGACCATACTTCTCTCTCTCTCATACATTGCATTCGCTCATCTTCTCTCTCTGTCCTGGACAGGCCTGGGAAATTCCTCCAGCGGCCCGTTTCAGGTCACGCCCCCCTCTCTCTGTCTCCAGGGCAACAGCAAACACTCTCCCAATGCACTCGTATCAAACTAAAGAAATGACTCATGTTGTGCAGATACAAAGAAGTGAATACATAAAACGGCACCATCTTACACCCACGTGTGGCACAATTACCAAATAAAATGCCCAACAAATAATAATGTAATAACTTCATTTAAATAATAATATTTATTTGTAGTAGTTATTATTTAAACATTATTTTATTATATCAAATTATTAATAAAATTGTAATATTATTAATAATATAATTATAATTATATTATAGTATATTATATTATTTATATTATATTTTATTTATTAATTTATTAATTATATTATATTATATTAATAATATATTAATATAATTATATTAATAAAAAAATAGCATTATTTAATTTAACCCTAAAACCGTATTCTGGACAAATGTGGGCAAAATAGTTAAAAAATACTTCCCTTGATCTGAGCGGTTCAAGACTTGGCTACTTTTCCTTAGTTTGCCTCCTGAACACAGACACATTTTTTTTTTACTCAATTCTACAAAAAAAAAAAAAAAACAACAACTCCTTAATCTTGTATTTGGGTCAAAAATGGGCACCCATAGAAATGAATGGGAAAAACTGTCATTTAGAGCATTCTAAAATAAGCCAAAATAAGACACCAGGTGACAGCAAAGTCACTTCATCTTTAGGTTTTAGCTCTAAGAACTTATTGGAATGATATTTTAATGTAGTTAAAAAAAATAAAACATAAAAATAAGCATAATTTACATAGAAAATATGGTACATTTTGAAGTAAATACATTTGAAAAATACCCCCCAAAAAATAAAAAAAACACCATAAATGGATAGACAAAACTTTATCGAAGACAGTGATATAAAATTTATAATAAATAAAAATTAGGATCACACCCGAGTCCTCTGTGCCCACATTTGTCCACAATTATTCACTAAAATTAGTCTAGTCTAGTTTAGTTCTGGTTTAGGCTCAGACTAAAATACATGTTTGAGCTGTTTTAACTGAAAGCAACAGGCATGTCTGCCATAGTTTTGTCTCAAGATGCACACCAGTAATGTTTTTTTCTAAGGCACATTTATAAAAGCTACTTAGGCTTAATCTTGGCTTAATCTAAGCCCTGTCTGTGAAACCAGGCCTTTAAGTTTCAGTCACTAATTCTCTCACATATACAGTGACTTGAATTGTTTTTTCTCTGTGTTGGCATTAATTGGCCGGTCCTTCCTTTCCATGCCTCTTTTAATCCCGTTTCTCTTTCACATGAATTACTTCAAAAGTCCAGCCACTCCCACAATTCCACATTCACATCATTCTCACGTTCTCATTCTATTAGTGTCCTTGTTTTACTATGTCCTTCCTTCACTGATTTGCTCTTTACTTGTCTGTTAGTAAAATTCACAGGGCCTTGGACAACTTTTTTAGGGTCCCATCAGCTCAGACCCAATGAGAAGCTATTGAGGATCTTCCTCGAACCGCCCCATTTTCACTTGTATTCTTTTAATTAAACCCCAGGTTCACATACAAGGCTTAAGCTAGTCCCAGACTAAAATGCATATTTTAACTGAAAGCAACATGCACTGACATATCTTAAATGTAGGTGTCATTGTTTGGTCTCAATATGCACGTTTATAAAAGCTAATTAAATACCGTAATTAAACGAAGGCCTAATCCTGGCTTAATCGAAGCCCTGTCTGTGAAACCAGGCCTACACTGTAAAAAAAAACTGTTGGTTTAACTTTAAAAAAGAAGTAGCCTGGTTGCCTAAACATTTTGAGTTCATTGAAATGAAAAAATTGAGTTAATACACTGAAGGAGATTGATTTAATCATCAGAAACTCAAAATATTATGTTATCTGAACCACATAAATAATTTAAGTTGATTTGACAAAAGAAAAATGTTGTGATTACAAATCATGAAAATATTTTTTTACAGTGAGTTCCAGTTTCCTGTTTTTGTATGAAGCATTTTTATATCGCGTGAGGTCGAACTGTTGCATATCTGAAAAAATAATAATAATAATAATAATAAAAACAATAAAACATCATACCTGTAATCAAACTTGAGATTAGAAGGGGAAGCACGAGCATCTGCAGCATTCGCATCAATAGTTCACCAGGAAAGGAGAAATACTTCACTTCCCTGTATGACATCTTATATGGTCTCAGAGCAAATCCCAGCGCAATACCTGAATAAAACATAAACTGGTGAATACTGGTGGCGTGGTGCGGTGGTTTGAGAGGTACTGTAGATGTGTGTCAAAGCAACTAACTTCAGTTTAGATGGCTTCTGGAACAAACTTTCACACTATGAATGAATGTAATTTCAGGTGCACTGACCGAAGACCACAGCTCCAACGGTGAACAGCACAAAAGCATTTCTTCTCAGAAAGGACTTGACGTCCTCTTTACTGATGTCTTCGACTTTCTTCCTCGCCTTTAGGGAACGCAGTTGCATTCTCTCGCGGAACTGCTGCACGCGACTGCGCGCGCGCGGCTTCTCCCCGGTACTCTTGGTCATGCTGGCGGTGTCACTCTCGACACACTGAGATCAAGCTGGGCTGAACCGGTGACCCAAAACTGACCCGACGCTAAAAACAAGAGAGAATGAGACGAACTCTGGCACACACACTGCTCTAAACCCTAAAGTTAAAATGGGAAAGAAATCAAAAGAATATATTAATTGCGATTAATCGCATGCAAAATAAAAGTTTGTGTTTACATTATAGCCTAAATGTGTGTGTGCTGTGTATCATTATTTTGTATAAATACACATGCATGCATGTCTATATTTAAGAATTATTTGCACGTAAATTTTGTATATATAAATACATAATCTATATTATGTATACATGTAAATATTTTATATATGAATAACATATTTTCTTAAATATATACATGCACGTGTGTTCATTTATATATACAAAATAATTACACACAGCACACACAAATATATTATGTAAACACAAACTTTTAATTTGGATCTTTGCACAGCCCTAATTTAAATATATGATATTTAATTTCTTGTAAATGAAAGCTTTTTATCAATGCAATAAAATCGAAACAAAGTAAATAAATCAAAAAAATAAACATACCATACATGCATATTTCTTATGCATTATATGTATAAATGCAATGTTACAATTCAAGAAAATAAAAGGATTTTTAGTTTAGAGATGATAAAATTAATTTCCTCCATCATAGTTTTTTTTTTATCTTGTAGCTTGCATGGTTCATCAATTCACAGTGAACCACATGAATATCTCTGTGCATATATATATATATATATATATATATATATATATATATATATATATATATATATATATATATATATATATATATATGTCAATTTCCATTAAATATTTTACCCACATTACCCATTATTTTCCAGGCAAATGTTCCTCAGGCCATAAAACCCCCTCAGCTATAGCTACAAGTAGCTGGGATAATAAGAGCTGCTTACCTGCTTCCAGTGAGCTCTTGTGCTGAGATGCCCTGAGTGAGCCAGTCTGTGCTGGGAATTTAATAACCTTCCACCAGTAAGAAGCTCCTGATACTCAGGATCTCAAAGGGGGTGGAGCTTGTAAACTCCAAATAGGAGATTCTCGAGACTTAAGTGAAGGGGGCCCAGCTGTGGTACATGATGGAATGGCAGGAGGGGGTCGTTGCTAGTTTCTCACATGAAATTATGATAAAAAAGATGTTCAGATGCTGTCTGCTTTTCAAGCTTTCCTTAAGAAGACACATGAGGCCAACCTTGTGGCATTCAACTAAGAGATCAAAACTCACATCGTGTTTCACATCCTGAGAGACGATTTCAATGGCTGAGAATGAACACGTTAAATCAGTTTGAAGGGGAAGAATAAACACTTGACTCTCGGCATATGGCAAGCCGTTTCAACTTAAATTGTACCCGTCGTAATTACATTTTTACTAGTAAGAATTCGATTAGAGAGCTCTACAATTCAATTATTACTAGAATTACAATCGCAGAGCTATCTAATTGAATTCTTACAAGAAACAATTCCAATTAGAGAGCTCTACAAATGAATTTTTACCGTGTCTCCATTGACCTCAATTAATTTTTAATTGGAGAGCTCTGAATTTTTTAGTAAAAACATGAATTAGAGATATGTATAATTGCAGAGCTCTGCAATTGAGTTGTTACTAGTAAGAATTGAATTAGAATGCTCTGTATTTGTAATTCTTACTAGTAACAATTCAATTAGAGAGCTCTGTAATTAAAAATGAATGGAAGTCAATGGAGACTAGTAAAAATTCATTTGAGCTCTCTAATTGTAATTGTTACTAGTAATTACAGAGCTCACTAATCATAACTGCTACTAGTACGAATTGAATTGTAAAGTTCTCTAATTGAATTCTTACTAGCAAAAATGAAATTACGAGTAAGGCTGGGTTCAATTTAAGCTAAAACGGCTTGCCATACTCGGCAGGTCTTTGAGCTCTTCAGATGACACTCGTGATGGGACTTCCTGCGGGGTGAAAGTTGTTTCACACACTCACCTCTCCCACAGAACTTCCTTCGTCTGTGAACCGTTCCTGTCCCGTCGGGTGGCGTCACCCTGTGTAATTTACATATTCAGTGACTTAACCCAATTAACGGTTTTGTGCGTCGTGCATACAAAAATTGCAAATGCGACAAATTATTTTGGGCATATTTTATTTTATTGGATCTCACATTGCAGAAAATATAAAATAGGGTGACACACATTTAAACATTTTGGACCTATATATATATATATATATATATATATATAGCCTATATATATATAAAATATATATATTCATCAGGATTTTTTGATAAATAAATAAGAGCAGCATTCATTTTAACTATATTTTTTTGTTGCATTATAAATGTTACATTGATTTAATGCATCCTTGCTGAATAAAAATATCAATTTCTTAAAAAAAAAAAAAAAAATCGTAACGTTCCCTGAAAGGGTAGTGGTTGGAATGTTGAGTATATACCAGATCCGGAATGTTGCATTGAGCATCAGCATCCAGGAGCGCAACTATCCATTAGATAATGGCATTTTTACGTGACTGCTCAATGATACAGAGGCATATGAAGGTTTTACATATTTCTTCGTGCATATGAATGATGTTATGATGTAGGTCTCTGTCTTTCTCAGAATGAGTTGGTCCTCTTCACTGGGCTCTTGGAATGTCTCTGCTTTTGTCTGGCCTTTGTGAGAGTAATCATAAACAGTGCTCGCCTTGAATGTTTAATTTGGACCAAACACTTCCAGTAACCCCTCTCTCCGACCCCCATCACCCTCCCGTTCTCTTGCACTTCGCAGTCGACAAAGAGACGAAGCACAAAAGAAGCTTTCAGCCTTTCTGATTACAGTTTTGAGGAAGACTTGTAGTTTTTGGGCGAGTGCACTGGGTTCCCTGAACTTGTTGAGTCTGAGAGTTCGGATGGAGTAATAAGTTATCAGTTTTACAGCATCAAACATCTTAACTCACTGAAATCACTTGTTTCATGCACATTTCCTCTTGACCTTCAACCATCAGTCATTATATGGTTGCATATTCCTCTGTAAGACTCTAATCGAGGGATGTGTGAGACAATTCAATCTCATTTCTGTCTCGAAGAAAAAATGTTTTCTTTTTAAATATATATTGAGATTTGAGAAACACTGTTTTATTCATCATTAGGCAAAATACGTTTGATGCAGTCTATACCAGGTGTAAGATAAAAGTGTCCGGATGAGAGAAGGAAGGGTTTTCCAGTCTCTGTGAGATCAGGGGCTTTTAGAGTCCCACTGCGATGAGCAAACTCAGTGAGTCGGTCGGCATCAATGGCTTATCACCCAGCAACCATTGAAGCCATTAGCAGAGATTCTGCTCATTCACACACATTCAGCAGGTCCGCAGGGATGCCGCTTTGAGCAAAGAGGCTCTTTGGCCTCACTAAACAAAACATCATATTGAAAAACCACCAGATGATCAAAATGGAAGCAGGAAGAGAATAACATATGTGTCACTGTGTCTTTATTTATGAGAGTTTTATGCAAAATACTTGATCAAAGAATTAGTTTCGTAATAATGTGCTTATGGGTTTACACAGGTCCAAAAAAATCATCATTTGGAATTATTTATTATTTTTTTAAATTATAATAATTTTAATGGATATGAAGAAACTTTCTTAATATATATATATATATATATATATATATATATATATATATATTAGGGCTGTGCAAAAGTTAATTGCGATTAATCGCATCCAAAATAAAAGTCTGTGTTTACATAATATATTTGTGTGCGCTGTATATAATTATTTTGTATATATAAATACCTATGCATGCATGTATATATTTAAGAATTATTTGCGCTTAAATTCTGTATACATCTATAAATACTAGGGCTGTGCAAAAGTTAATTGCGATTAATCGCATCCAAAATAAAAGTCTGTGTTTACATATATATTTGTGTGTGCTGTATATAATTATTTTGTATATATAAATACACACACATGCATGTATATGTTTAAGAAAATGTGTTATTCCTATATAAAATATTTATATTTATATAATATAGATTATGTATTTATATATATATACAGAATTTAAGAGCAAATAATTCTTAAATATATGCATGCATGCATAGGTATTTATATATACAAAATAATTATATACAGCACACACAAATATATTATGTAAAACAGACTTTTATTTTGGATGCGATTAATCGCAATTAACTTTTGCACAGCCCTAATAAATACATAATCTATATTATATAAATATAAATATTTTATATATGAATAACACATTTTCTTAAATATATACATGCATGTGTGTGTATTTATATATACAAAATAATTCTATACAGCACACACAAATATATTATGCAAACACAAGACTTTTATTTTGGATGCGATTAATCGCAATTAATTTTTGCACAGCCCTAATATATATATATATATATATATATATATATATATATATTATAAAATAATTATTAAATAATTCATAGTTTTGCATAATACTTCAACTTCATTCTCCTGAAAGAAAACTTTAACTACTTGAAAATGCAGCTAAAATGATAAATATAAAATAAATTTGGAATTTAAAAATACACACACACACTATACTGTCTTTTTTCTCAAATTACAGCTTACATCTACCAAATTATTATGTATGTGTGTGTGTGTGTGTTTTTTGTTCTTAAATTGAATGAAGTTGACAAAATTTAGAGGGCAAAAGGGAATTTCCATGTCTGTAATTTTTGCACTGACCTTGAGTGGACATTTCCCACTCCACGTGACCTTGAGCAATCACTCCTCCATAACCATATTCACACATTTACACCACTATTCAAAGAGGCCGGAACATTCACTCTGAAAGCATTTTGCTGCCTGTTTCACTAAAGGACATTGGGGGACCAGAATCAAAAGAAGACAAAAGACACTTCCGAGTTCACACACTTGGGGAGTGGTTCTTCGGATAGAAGAAGACAGTCACAAAAGGGACTGAAGACGTTAATGCTACTAATATGGAGCGCCGACCTTAATGGAGCTTGTATCTTAAAGGGATAGTTCAGCCAAAAATTAAATATCTGTCATCATTTACTCACCCTAAAGTTTCTTTCTTCTGTTGAACACAAAATAAGATATTTTGAAGAATGTCGATAATCAAACAGGTTGCGGTGGCCATTGACTTCTATGGAAGAAAATACTATATGCCATATAGTATATGGCAGTCAGTGGACACTGGTTACAAACATTCTTCAAAATATTTTTCTTTTTAATAAGAGAGAAACTCATACAGGTTTGGAACAACAAAATGACTATCCCTTTAAGAGATTTTCTATTATTTTATCAAAATAAATTGTCTCAAAATCCCTTTGCAAAACCGCGGTATGCGATGATCTGGTTGATGTGAAAAGTTACTTTAAAATGTAACTTTACATTAAGCTCTCAAAAGTTAGGCTATATTAAAGTTGTAAGCTTTAATGTGATTTAAAAAAAGAAAAACATTTGAAATAAAACGGAGGTTATTGTCTCCAAAGGAAAAGATTTTATTTAATCATCTAGCTAATTTCTCAGAGGCCAAATTCAGAGAGTTCTCACCCGAGACATTATAGCAGCTATCTGTTGCTTCCCATTAACACTCATTCTTCTATACAAACTTGAAAGTTTGAACATGCCGAGAGGAGCGGCATTAGTATTCAGCTCACCCTCTGCGGTAATGAGTAGATCCTCTCTCACAGCTGGTCTCCATGTTAGCAGAACTCATAATAATATGCTAACAAAAACTCTTCGTCTGATCCAAAAACGAGATTCAGAGAGGAAGATGTGAGAAATGCGACAACGCAAAAAGTGCTGTCTGTTTAGTTTTGGTGTCGTCATGGTGATGCCACGACGGTTTAGGGAAAAGTCTCCAACTAACAGGAATTCCTGCAGAGAGTTTTGAAGTGAATGCCAGAAACTCAGAAAGGATAAAACATGAACTGATTGAAGACTCTTTTCCCCGGGGTTTGAGCACTTTTCATCTGGAAGACCAGCTTAAATCAGCTAAGACCAGAAAATGGATGAGGGGTCTCACTCAGTGTGCTGCATTCCTCATACTTTTGGGGAAAAAGCTATTATTTTTTAGCTTAAACTAGAACATAACAAAATCATAAGCCTACATTCGAAAAGCCAACATTTCTTAGTTTAGTTTAAATTGAAGTATTCAAATAACGCGAAATAAACTACAAATAAAGTAAAACTTAAAACGAAATAGGCATAACAAATAAAATGACAAAAAAAACAAAAACATAAAAAAATAAGAAATTAAAATGAAAACAGAAAAAAAACTGTTTTTCTGAAAATATATTGTGTAAAAATATCAATATAAAAATATCAATACCAACATAGTGACTGACACTTTTGTTGTGATGTAACTTTTTTTTAAATTTTTTTGCTAAAAATCATTTCGTTGGAAATAACAATAAAGGCTTAAATAAATGTCTGTTGTCTTCTATTTTCACAAATTTAACGCCACCATGTGGTCACGGTGAGAATAGTTTCAGATTACCTGAGCGGTTCAAACCTATGGGTTCAAATTAAACATTCGGATAAGTTCACCCAAAAATGTATTTACTTACCCTCATGTTGTTCAAAACCTGTATGAGTTTATTTCTTCTGCTGAACACAATTATTACTGTAGGTAATCAATCAAACAGCTGACGGTAGCCACTGATTTGGAAGTCAACGACTATGGAAGTCAACGGCTAACGTAACGTTACTACTGACAACAATTTGTTTGTTAAGTTACATTCTTCTCTCATTCTTTTTATTATTATTATTCGACGACAAAAGAAAAAAAACTCATACAGGTCCGTACTCAGTTTGAGGATGAGGATTGTTGACATCTAGAAGAAACTGGAAAAAATAGCGACGGGCAAAATATAAAGCTATAACAAAGTGGCTAGCTAGTAGCTATTAGTTAGCTTTTGAACCCTTTGTGACCTGCAGCGAGGTCAAGTCTTTAAGCTGTAATAAATATAAAATTGGTATCGAATCTCGACCCATATAAAAGCATTACACCGTCATTAAACATGTTTAATTTCATTTTTATTATGACAAATGTACAAGATAGTAAATCATATGAAAGAAACTACAATACAGTTAACAAAAACATCAAAAAGAACAGACGAACACAAAGGACGTTTCTAAAAGCTAAAACCAGACGGCATCTGTCCATCTGCTGTCAAACTACATGAGCCAATTCTCATCAAACACTGGTGTCGACATCCCTCATTACAGAATATCAGATTTTTTAATGTGAAATACAAATATATACTGTTTCATTATAGACTGGGCCTCAATTTTAAATCGGTGTCTGTACCATTGATTTTTATATTACACAAGAAATGAACATCGGCCCAATACTGTTAATAGACCGAAATGCACTGTCTAGTACCTAATGATGCTCTTGATCTCAGCACGTCAAAGTACATTCTCAAGTTTTATTCTCAAAATCTGATGCCCTAATGCCGCAAGAGCAAATGAATCAGACTAGAAGATATGTGCATGCCAAGCAAAAAACATTAATGTACAAGACATTTTTACACCGCTTTTGTCCATCAATGCTGACATCAAAACAATAATCCTGTCTGTTGGGCTTTTTTATCGAATGCTTTTTCCCTCTGAGAACAGATCATTCTTGTAAATGTTTTAGCAATCAGTGGAAATGGGACAGAGAGACTGAAAACCCTCAAAGAAAAGACAAAAAGAATGCACTGATGAAAATGAGACGGACGCACGTACAAATGTACCTACGAAACAAATTATAAACAGATGCAATCATAAAAGGACTGCTATGTATACTTTAAATGATTTAAAAATGCTTCTAATATGTTACAGCAAAAACTACAGATATACACACCAGGATAATGCAAGACTATAAGACGGGCGTCTCACACCACGCTGCTCTCGGAAATCATTTTAATGTCATGAATTTCAACCTTTAAAAATAGACGAAACCAGGAGATCAAGAATCTCTTCCTGTATGTCTTGTAGGAAAAATGTATTGCTTGTAATTGATGAAAAACAAAAAACAATAATGTCATACATCACTAGTATGTTTTTAAAAAAGGAAAACATTACAATGAGTATATTCATATATTTACTGTATATAAAGAAAATGAATATAGTGCACCGAAACACAGACATAAGCAGGACGTGATGGGCGAAATAGAATCGAGATATAAAACGAGATGAACAGCACTAAATAAACGTCAAGGAATCCCTCAGAGAAACACATCGGTGCGGGTGAGAGTCCTCAGCATTTGATCAACTTTGAGAGGAAGATTTGGCATTTGACGCATCGAAAAGCTGCCAGAGTAAATAGTGTTTGACTTCAAATTAAAACATGGTGCTAAAACAGTCCGAAGTATGTTGGCATAAGAAAATGAGCAGTTTTTCACTATTAGACATTTCTTAGAAACTTCCAGGAATCTTTTGCTCTAGTGGTGCGAGCAGCTCTACGACCAAGCCATAATTTCAGGTACAAATTACAATTTCCGTAATAAATAGTATAACAAAACAAAGCTTATAATGACATCACTTAATAAAAACAGTTTCCCCACCAAATGAAACCAATCGCTAGAAATTCAACTTCCACTCCAATTGGATTATAAAATATGAACGTTTAAAAATGGCATCTGAGTGGAGCCGAACGCGTGGAATTTCATTGAAATCTGGTTCGTCTCTAGCCCCTCCTCTTTTGTACTGACCCCACCCACTTCCGGTTCTCTCTGAAATGTGCAACTGACAGCAGTGGAGATCAAAACGCAAGTGAACTGGACAAATGTCAGACGGGTGAGCGTGAGCATGGCTGAGTGATTAGTGTAAAAAGAGGTTTTAGAGGTTGTTTCCAGAGAGGGTTTGTTTGCTTGTCTGTTGCTTATTGAACAAAAACAATACTTTAAAAGGAATATCTCGGGGAGTCTCTCGGAAGGATTGCGTTTTCCTTCCCTTGATGCTTCTTGCTCAGTAAAATATTTACAGCTATTATTAATGTGCCGCCAACGCCGAGCTGTCCCTGATCTGCTCCGCTGGCACGTTGAACGGGGACTGTTGACATGATCCGTGCTGAAAACAGGATGAGGAGAAAAAAAAAAATGTAAAAAAAGAAAGAAGTTATAGCTGTTCACTGTTGCAGACATAGTCTACGAGGTCTGTGACGCCCAAAAGGTCGTCTTCATCTTCGTCCTGCGCGGGGATCTCCAGGCCATTCGGCGCTGAGGATACAGCCGATGGGGCGCTGCCGTTTTTCGGTGTCACTCCCACCTCGGGTCGTGGCACGAGGCCCTCTAAACCCTTCATTGGGCTTTGTCCGTTAGTGGGAGGAAGCTCCACCAAGTTGTAGTCCAGTGGACTGGGCCCTTTGACAACGGTTTCCTCTGACTCTTTCTCCTGCGGGCTCTTCTTCACCTCCTCCTCATCTTCACTTTCGTCAGAGTCGATGCGGTTCACGCGCTTCCGGACGGGCCGCTCCTCTTCCTCGGATTCGTCCGAATCGTCGTCGTCTTCGTCATCATCCTCTGACTGCCTCCGGCGTTTAAGGGACAAGCGTCTGCGCCGTTTCCTGGATTCTTCCTCGGACGAGTCCGCTCTCAGCTTCTTGGGCTTCCTGTCTTCATCAGATTCAGCTGACTGGTAACTAACTGGAGCAGCAAGTTAGAACACACCGTTAGTCTGAACCATTCCAGTTAAACTAATTAAATCACAGCATTTTTGCCTACAGATATATCGTCCAGGCCGATTAGTTGACCTATATTATTTTATGTACTAAAGATATAATAATATACTATAAGAACATACTGTATAATACTATATTTAGTAATTACAGTTGGTAAGTTGAATGTCTTTTTTTCTTGCAACTTTATTTCTCATAATTTGCGACTTTATTTCTCATAATTTGCGACATTATTTCTCACAATTGCGACTTTATTTCTCATAATTGTGACTATATCTCGCAATTGCGACTTTATTTCTCATAATTGCGACTTTATTTCTCATAATTGTGACTTTATTTCTCATAATTGCGACTTTATTTCTTATAATTGTGACTATATCTCGTAATTGCGACTTTATTTCTCATAATTGCGACTTGCAATTGCGACTTTATTTCTCATAATTGTGACTTTATATCTCGCAATTGCGACTTTATTTCTCATAATTGTGACTTCATATCTCGCAATTGCGACTTTATTTCTCATAATTGTGACTTCATATCTCGCAATTGCGACTTTATTTCTCATAATTGCCACTTTATTTCTCATCATTTGCGACTTTATTTCTCATAATTGTGACTTTATATCTCGCAATTGCGACTTTATTTCTCATAATTGTGACTTTATATCTCGCAATTGCGACTTTATTTCTCATAATTGCGACTTGCAATTGCGACTTTATTTCTCATAATTGCCACTTTATTTCTCATAATTTGCGACTTTATTTCTCAAAACTTTATTTCTCATAATTTGCGACACTATATCTCGCAATTGCGACTTTATTTCTCACAATTGCGACTTTATTTCTCAAAACTTTATTTCTCATAATTTGCGACACTATATCTCGCAATTGCGACTTTATTTCTCATAATTGTGACTATATCGCGCAATTGCGACTTTATTTCTCATAAATGCCACTTTATTTCTCATAATTTGCGACTTTATATCTTGCAATTGCGACTTTATTTCTCAAAACTTTATTTCTCATAATTTGCGACACTATATCTCGCAATTGCGACTTTATTTCTCACAATTGCGACTTTATTTCTCATAATTGCCACTTTATATCTCGCAATTGCGACTTTATTTCTCATAATTGTGACTTAATATCTCGCAATTGCGATTATTTCTCAAAATTGCGACTTTATATCTCGCAATTGCAACTTTATTTCTCACAATTTTGACTTCATATCGCAATTGTGATATAAAAAGTCGCAATTATTTTTTTATTCAGTGACGGAAACAAGCTTCCATACATCAAAGACTTATTTTACATCTTGTGAAAACTGAAAAGAGCATACCACCACTTTAAATTAAAGTAATAATTTCTTTAAAAATAAAACACATCTGATCCTTTTGAACACACACACACTTTGTGCTTATATCACTCAACCCTGAATAATTCTAGCAATAAATATTATATAAGAATATAGTGACATTACAGAGGTCAAAGTTATAATGATTCAGGCTTATGTTGTGAATATGCACAGGTGTAAATGGCACTGACCTTCACTGTCAGAGCTGGAAAGACGCCTGCGTTTCTTCTTTTTGTCTTTGTTGGTGCTGGCCTGTGAGCCATCAGAATCTGAAGTTTCACAGTAGTTCACCTGCTGCTTACGGCTCCGATGGGACCGTCGAAAGCGGATGTCCAGATCGCTGTCACTGTATTCACTAGAGCCTTCTGTCACTGCATGCAAACAACCACACACAATGGGAAGTCAAACAGAGAAATATATCAGTGAATAGAGTGTAAACCACAAGTATGGTTCAAATTATGGCTTAAAACTCACATTTTTGATCTTTTTCAACAAAAAAGTTTTTTTTTTGTCTACCTCAGCAGGTCTAGGTCTTTTTCTAACAATTACATAAACATAAGAAATAAACATTAAATAAAAAAATAACATCTCGATAATATAAATAAAAGTTGGCAGAATATATAACCTCAATTAAACAACTCCTTTGTTGGCTTGTAGTTATTGAGAAACTAAACATTTCTTATGTTTATTTAACCATTTTTATTGAGCTTGACCAATGCAGTCAATACTAAGAAACTAAATGCCTCACCCATCTCTTCCTCCTCCTCCTCTTCATCACTTTCTTCCTCCTCTTCGTCAGAGTATCCTCTGGGTCTGCGTCTCCTGCGTGGCGGCTGCCTTCTGTTTCGATACCGGCTTGTTGCCTTTCTGTTTGAAGGTCTTATCTGCGGGCCGCCCGCATCGCTCCCGAAGTCACTGTCCTCAAAGGACCGGGCTTCTGCTTCACTCTCTGCCTCGTTATCAGACGCCACAAACTCCTCTTCTGAACTGCAGACCAATCAGAGCAGAGCGAGTGTTAGTTCACCACAGATTTCTATGATACTTTATAGGAAAAGTTCGGTATTTTACACTTAAAGCCCTGTTTTAAGATAGTTTCTGATGAAATCGAAATTTGGCCTGATACTTTTTTTTCTCTCAAAATTTCAATCTTAACCATTCTATTTCATCAGAAACAATCTTAAAACAGGGCTTTAAGTGTAAAATACCGAACTTGTCCAAAAAAAAAAACTTTTGCTGATAATTTACTCGCCCCCATGTCATCCAAGATGTCCATGTCTTTCTTTCTTCAGTCGCAAAAGAAATTAAGGTTTTTGATGAAAAAATTCCAGGATTTTCTCCATATAATGGACTTCAATGGGGTCCAAATGGGGTCCAATGGGGTTCAAGGTCCAAATGAGTTTCAGTGCAGCTTCAAAGAGTTTTAAACACCAGACGATTAATAAGGGTCTTATCTAGCGAAACGATCGGCCATTTAAAAAATAAATTCGACAAACGAAATGACTTGAAAAAAGAAGCTGCACTGACACTCTCATTTGGACCTTGAACCGTTTGGTCCCCATTGAAGTCCATTATATGGAGAAAAATCCTGGAATGTTTTCATCAAAAACCTTAATTTCTTTTCAACTGAAGAAATAAAGACATGGACATCTTGGATGCCATGGGGGTGAGTAAATTATCAGCAAACATTTTTTTAAAAGTGAACTAAAATGAAATGCTGTTGAACAGAACCTGTCGCTGAGACGGAACTCGTCTTCGCTCTCTTCCTCGTCCACAGTGCTGTCGCTGTCGAGATCGTTGAGACGCCGCCGCTTCTTCTTCTGAGCTGCACTGGGTTTCTGCGGCCGGCCATTCTCCTTCCCTTCCTCCTGTAGAATGGTGGATATGTCCTTCCCTCTGTGGCCCGTGATGTTCGCCATGTCCTTCCCCCGGCCTGCACCTATTGGTCACATTCAATCGGTCTAAACTCATATGTTCAAGCTCAAATATCAACATGATAAACCCTTGAAGCACTTGAAGGAAACGCCCCCCACCTCCTCCTTCTGCCTCTTTGATGTCTTCCTCAATCGCCTCTTCGATCGCTTCGTCAAACTCATCAAATCTGACAAAAATGTAACAATAAACAATGAATAAAGATAATGAAAAAGTTGCAATATGTAAACCCAGGAGACAGACTGACATACCTGTAGCTTATGTATTTCTTCGCCCTGGTTGATCTACGTCCCCAACTTTTGCTCTTCTTCGTCTCCTCTTTCACCACCACCTCTTCCTTTTCTTCTTCCACTTCAACCTTCAAATAAAAAGTTTTACTTTTACAACAGAGTACAACATTATTCAAAAATTTGGGGTCAGTGATTTTTTCTTGCTTATTTTCAGTTTAAAAGTGACAATAAAGACATTTATAAATGTACAAATTATTTATTTCTATTTCAAATAAATGGTGTTCTTTTGAACTTTCCATTCATCAATTTATAAAAAAAATCTATTACAGTTTCCACACAAAAAAAAAACTTCTTGATTCAGCTTTTTCAACACAGGAATAATTTACACTTTAAAATGTATAACAACAGAAAACAGTTATTTTAAATTGTAATAATTTCCCTCAAAATTACAGTTTTTAATCAGATAAATGCAGCCTTGGGTGATGAGAGACTTCTTTAAAAATAAAAAATGTACCAATCTCAAACTTTTGAACAGCAGTGTTAATTATGATCACAAATTATTAACAATTATAATGATGATGGGATTCCTCATTTGTAAGTTGCTTAGGATAAAAGCGTCTGCTGAATGATTAAATGTGATGACAATTAAAAAAATAAAACTTTAAATATTACCTCTCAAGAATTGAAATGGTAATAATTAAGCTTAAAAGAGATCATGTGAGATTACACATTTTTCAAGTCCATTCTACAATCTTTAAAAAAATCGTTCAGCTTTACGACAGAAGATTAGATTACTTTTCACACTATTAAGCGGGTTTTTTCCATGCCACCTGATTTGGTGTAAAAGTCGGATCAAATTTTAGGATCTAAAAGCATTATTTAATTCACTTGTTTAATATGTTTCTTCAGGAATATTAACATTTTAAAAATAAATAAGGATTCACAAATTTCAACAAACACTGCCGCCCAGAGGTGTAAAGAGTACCTGAAAACCATACTTGAGTAAAAGTACAGATACCTTACAGCAAAAAGGACTCCATTACAAGTTAAAAGTCACCAATTCCAATACGATTTGAGTAAAAGATTGTTACTAGTACAGACTGTAGGCTCAAAGATGCACCAGTCCTCAACACCTGAGAGACATCCCAGTGAAAGACATGAAACAGAGCAATCACTTTAGCTTTCTAAAATCAAAATAAAACTGAACAGCACAAAATTGCAAAAGGTCGACACAACAGCCTCTTAAACATCCACAAACAGTCAAGCTCAAGTGCTCAAAAAGAGCATAAGTAAACCAACATCCTTCAGGTCCCTCCTATATCATGATAAATAAAATAATGTTAAGTAAAAACAAATAGTCAAAGGCTACTCGCACTGGACGTGCTGGTTTAAGCCTCGTCACATGTCCTCATCTATAACACCTGCTATTACAACTACCTGCTAATGCGCTCGATTCACGTAAAGCAGCTATATAAGGCCAAATCACTCATGATGTAGTACCTTTAATGCCCTGTAGATGCCGATATCGCTTCTTTTGTAGCAGAAATAAACTGCTGCAGAAAAAGTTGGGTGCCATGCAAAATGAAATGAGTAATTGTATTACTCACCACAAATGTATTGGAGTAAAGAGTATATATACTTTTAGTAGTTGAGTAGAGAGTAAAAGTTGTAAATGTCTTGTGATACTCAGTAAAACTACAAAGTAGGCCAAGTACAGAAACCGATTAGATTTACTCAAACACTTTACAGTACTATTGCAGGCACTTACAGACGGTGTGATGATGTTCTCCAAACTGATGCCAACATACACCAGTCGCTCTTTTCTGTGAGGAAAAAAACAAAAATGACAATGTTTCAGGCCTGAAAATAATTCCTCGTATGGACTGAACGGCTAACCTACAGGCAGACGAATAAATAGTGCAAATAGAGTGCCGAAGTGATGACGTCACTTCGGGAAGCTAGCGGCGCATGGGTTCCCTCGGTCGAAAAGCAATGCATTTTCCCCATAGACTTTTGGAAAATCGCTAAAAATAAGATCTGAGTTGTGACCCTTACACGTTTTGTCTAGCAAGATAATCTTTACAAGTTAATCCAAAATGTATACATTTTGAAGCCTATATTAAGTTTTTTAAAAACACAAGCATACACAATAAAGTTAAAAAAAAAACACAAGCAGGTTATAACTGTGTGTTTTATGTCAGAGATCAAAACGTGAAAATATTAAGAGGCGATTTAGCAAAAACCCATTCAAAAATCCCATAGGCTTTAGAGCGAGGGAACCGTAGTGCTAAAATGCTAACTCACTTCCGCGTTTTGGCCTACAGAGTGACGTCGTAACTTCGGCACTCTATTGATATTGTAGAATAGTCAAGAACTTTACTGCAAACAAATTCACTTGAGCTGGTCTAAATTTCTCCATTCACCTTCGCTCTGCACGTTCTTTCTTTTTGAGGGCGGCATCCAAATTCAGCAACTGCTCTTCGAGCCTGTCGCAAAGTTGTTTCTGCGAGAGAATTAAAGAGGATCAGCATCTGAAAAGCCAAATAGACTCACGAAATCTGAATTGACTCACATGCTGGCAGGGGGGACAGAACCATTCCCCATCTGGAATGATCATGAGCGGAGGACGCAGACAGGCAGTGTGGTAGCCGCTGTCACAGGAATCACACAGGAGTATCTAGGTGAACAGAAACCACAGGTTAAATGCAGAACTGAATTGAAGATGAAGATGCTTTGCAGAAAAGTGTCGCACCAGCTCGGGATGATTGGGAAGGCCACAGTGTTTGCAGGGGTCGTCATTGGGTGGACCATCGTCTGATGAAGAGGTAGAGGAGTCCGAGCTGTTCCGCTCGCGGTGTCGGTTTCTCCTTCTCTTCTTGGTCTTCTCCACCTTATAGTCTTCATCGCTGTCGTCCTCCTCCGTCTCCTCGAACTCACTCTCGCTCTCCTCCTCATCGTCGTCATCTTCAGAGCATTTCTTTTTACGTCTCGTGCGAGACCACGGTTGTCGTTTTCGACGTCTCCCGACCTGTCGAAAGGCGAGTTACACTGTAAATTACTTTTTTTCGGTACGATTTTTGATTTCATGCAACGAAGACACATTAAATTAAGCAAACAGTAAAGAATTTATAATTTTAAAAAATATTTTTTTTTATTTTAAATAAATGTTGTTCTTTTGAACTTTCCTCAAAGAATGCATCAGTTTCCACAAACATATAAAGCAAGTGAGCTGTTCTCAGCATTTAAAAAAAAACTTTTGCACATCCAAGATGTCCGTGTCTTTCTTTCTTCAGTCGAAAGGAAATGAAGGTTTTTGATGAAAACATTCTAGCATTTGTCTCCATATAATGGACTTCAATGGGAACCAAACGGTTCAAGGTCCAAATGAGACTTTCAGTGCAGCTTCAAAGGGCTTTAAACGACACCAGAATAAGGGTCTTATCTAGTGAAACAATTGGCCATTTTAAAAATAAACAAAAAAGTTAAAGTGTTATTAGCACAAATGCTCGCCTTGCTCTGTTCTGATGTACGTTCGTGACTCTCCTGTTCGAACTCGTTCATCAAAATGAACGAATCTTTTTCCGAGTCATTTAGTTCATTGAATGGCCTATCGTTTCACTAGTTAAGACCCTTATTCATCATCTGGTGTCGTTTAAAGCCCTTTGAAGCTGCACTGAAGCTCTCATTTGGACCTTGAACCGTTTGGTTCCCATTGAAGTCCATTATATGGAGAAAATCCTGAAATATTTTCATCAAAAACCTTAATTTCTTTTCGACTGAAGAAAGAAAGACATGGACATCTTGGATGACATGGGGGTGAGTAAATTATTATCAGCAAAAGTTTTTTTTAAAAAGTGAACTACTCCTTTCAGGCTGTGAGATCGGATCTTCCGGCATGCAATGATCTCAAAATAAACAACAGAATAGTTCACTGATGATCACAGATTGAATGTTTGGCCATGGACATAGCAGTCCCCTGACCCAAATCCCATAGAAAAACTATGGGATGAGATGATGAAAAGGAGTACACGAGCATAGACCTCTGAATCTGAAGGATCTGGAGAGATTCTGAATGGAGGAACGGTCTCAGATATCTTATAACCTTATTACACATTATAGGAGAAGATCCAGAGATGTTATCTTGGTAAAGTGAGGTTGCACAGACTATTAAATGAAGAGGTGCTAATATATACATTTCAGAAAAAGAGTGTTTTTCTTTCAACTATTGGACTATAGAAGAAGTTTAAATCATATTTTATTTAGCAAGGGTGCCATTATTTGTGGAGACCACTGTAAATAATAAACATATGTATTTTAAATTAATGTTGACAGGTACCTTTGGTTTCGTTTGGCCATCTGGCTCAGCTTTCTTGGGTTTCCTCTGTACAGATTCCTCATCCTCCTCTTTTTCCTCATCGTCATCCTTTTCTTTCTCCGACGCTGGAGTCGTCTGCTTCCGCTCCGCCCTCCTATCTTGGATCTCCACAGCTTTAGCGGTGGGCCTGCAGATTCTCGGAGATCTCCTCAAGCATCGTCCCTCAGTCGTCTCCGGCTCCGAATCTCCCTTGACATCTTCTTTCTGGAGTTTGGCCTTCCGTCTGTGAGCTGCGATTTTGATCTTCAGACGAATGCCTTCCTGTCGCGAGTTGGTCTTTTCTTCTTGTTCTTCTCCCGTTTTATCCTCATCCTGACTCTCCTGAGACTTCCTCGGAGGCCGTCCTGGTCTTTTACTGCTTCTCGCAGCCGCGTCGCTCTTTTCTTGAACGTCACGTTGTTCAGAAGTTGCGTCGTGCTCAGATTGTTTGCTTTGATCCACAGTTTCCTTCTTACCTGCTCTCGAAGCCGACTGTACTTCATCAGCTTTAGTGATCTCTGAATCCACTTCCATTTGCTTCTCTTGGTTCCCTTCCTGTGAATCTGGTTCTCTTTCAGAACTGGTGGATTCAACCAATTTTTTCTCTGAAGATTCACCCTTTCCATCATTTTTTTTTGTCGTTTCCGAATTCTCATTTTTATCCGTCTCCGCTGTGTCACATTTGTCCTCACCATCAACTTTCTCTGTGGTTTTTGGGATACTTGAATCAGAAACAGGTTGAATCAGAAACTTCGGGGAGACCGACTGCTCTTGTGCTTTGGCTTGAGGGCCATCTGTATTTTCAGACGGCCTTTCCCCATTGGTTGATGATTTGTCTGCTTCAGATATATTCTGTTTTCCCGTTTTTGAGACAGGAGAAGCACACTCTTTTTCTATGGTGGTGTCTGCAGAGCTTTGACGAGTTTTTGTTTGGTCAACATTCTCTGGCTTTTCTGTGACAGAATGCAGTTTGATTTCTTCACGGGAAGAGGACTCCTCCATTTTAGATGACTGGACTGGTTCTGTTTCCATTGAATCTTTTTCTTCCAGGCCTTTTTTGGGATATTTTTGACTTTCTTCTGAAAGAACTTTCTGTGACTCTTCTTTTGGGAGATTATTTATTGTCTCTTCTTTTGTGAGATCTTTCATTGGCTGTTCTTTCGCCAGATCTTTTGATGATTCTTTGTTAGGGAGATCTTTCACTGCTTGTTGTTTTGACAGATCTTTCGATGCTTCTTTTAAGTGATCTTTCTTTGCTTCTTCTTTTGAGAGATCCTTTGTAGCTTCCTTTTTTGAGAGATCTTGCATTGACTCTTTGTTTGGGAGATCTTTAATTGATTCTTCTTTTGAGAGATCTTTAATTGACTCTTTGTTTGAGAGATCTTGCATTGACTCTTTGTTTGGGAGATCTTTAATTGATTCTTTGCTTGGGAGATCTTTAATTGATTCTTTGCTTGGGAGATCTTTGATTGATTCTTCTTTTGAGAGATCTTTAATTGATTCTTCTTTTGAGAGATCTTTAATTGACACTTTGTTTGAGAGATCTTGCATTGATTCTACTTTTGAGAGATCTTTAATTGATTCTTCTTTTGGGAGATCTTTAATTGATTCTTCTTTTGAGAGATCTTTAATTGACACTTTGTTTGAGAGATCTTGCATTGATTCTACTTTTGAGAGATCTTTAATTGATTCTTCTTTTGGGAGATCTTTAATTGATTCTTCTTTTGAGAGATCTTGCATTGACTCTTTGTTTGGGAGATCTTTAATTGATTCTTCTTTTGGGAGATCTTTGATTGATTCTTCTTTTGAGAGATCTTGCATTGACTCTTTGTTTGGGAGATCTTTAATTGATTCTTCTTTTGGGAGATCTTTAATTGATTCTTCTTTTGGGAGATCTTTAATTGATTCTTCTTTTGAGAGATCTTGCATTGACTCTTTGTTTGAGAGATCTTGCATTGACTCTTTGTTTGGGAGATCTTTAATTGATTCTTCTTTTGAGAGATCTTTAATTGATTCTTCTTTTGAGAGATCTTGCATTGACTCCATGTTTGAGAGATCTTGCATTGACTCTTTGTTTGGGAGATCTTTAATTGATTCTTCTTTTGAGAGATCTTTAATTGATTCTTCTTTTGAGAGATCTTGCATTGACTCTTTGTTTGGGAGATCTTTAATTGATTCTTTGTTTGGGAGATCTTTAATTGATTCTTCTTTTGAGAGATCTTTAATTGATTCTTCTTTTGAGAGATCTTTAATTGATTCTTCTTTTGAGAGATCTTGCATTGACTCTTTGTTTGAGAGATCTTTAATTGATTCTTCTTTTGGGAGATCTTTAATTGATTCTTCTTTTGGGAGATCTTTAATTGACTCTTTGTTTGAGAGATCTTTAATTGATTCTTCTTTTGAGAGATCTTGCATTGACTCTTTGTTTGGGAGATCTTTAACTGGTTCTTCTTTTGAGAGATCTTTTGTTGACTCTTCAGGGAGTGATGATGTATTTCCTTCTGTAGTTTCCATATTTTCACAAGTGGGGGATTTTTTATTTTCAGGTACTTCTTCAGAACCATCAGTCTTTTCTGACTGCCCACTTTCTGTTGAGATCTTTTCGTGAGGTTGAGGAGTTTCTGCGCTGGCATCACAAGATTTCCCAGGCTTCTCCACTTCCATCTGCTCTTCGGCACACAATCTGGTTTCATTGGTGTCCATCTTATCTTCTATCTGGTCGTTCTTAGCATGCTTTTTTCTCTCATTGGACTCATCTGAGACACATGGGGTATTTTCTGAAACACTCTCTGAACCTTTTTGCGTTTCACTTTCAGATGGTTTAAGGTGAGGGACATGGCCGTTGATCTTTTCAGCACTCAATCGGTTGTCGTCGAAACACGTTTGTGATTCTTTCACCGAAGCGACAGGTGCATTTCGTAATCCTGCACAGTTGCTGTCGAAGTCTTCGGTTAGTTTCATCTCTCGCTTTTTTAGAGGGATTTTAGCTTGATGGTCATTTTTCAAAGTTCTCTGAGTCTCTTCTAAGGTTTTTCTTTTCACGTCATCCATCTGTGTTGACAAGTCCTTGACTTTCTCCTCCTCATCCTGTGGCTCTTCTTTGATAGATCCAGCAATAACACCAGTGCAATTTGACGTCTCCGAATGTTTCGGCAACTCTTCCTTCACCTTCAAGCCCTTTTCCGATAAAGCATCTGTGGCCTCTGCATCTTCTTGCTTTGCATTTTCTTTCTCCAAGATGTTTTCCTTATTTTCAGAAGTGGATAAGTCGTCTTGTGACTTCTCATCTCTGATCTCCTCTAGAGGCAAAAACAATTACAACCAGTCAAAAAACATTCATACCTAATTCAATCGGTGTCCAAGCCAAATATGAAAAAATGTTTATAGGTTATTTTGTACATGAATAGATATGAATAAATTCAATTTGTATGGTTGAAAGTCTATGTTTTGACAAATTCAGATATAAATATAATTTAAACATAAATAAATAATGATCAATTTTCAAAGATTGCACCTGTCAATCCAGAACGAAATATTCTGTAATATATTTTGCAGTCAACACTACTGACAGTGTCTTTATCAGTAGGCTTTATATTTTTGCTTAACATGAAGTGTAGGTCTTCCACAACTCATCTAGCAGAAGCACCTCGTCAGACACGTTTCTGGTGTGCAAAGACTCAGCTGACGCGACGCAACAGAGACGCCACACAACCAGTGTGTCTCCGGTCTAACTGGGACATGAATTTACATTTGATATATACAACAAGTTGGTCCATCATACGACCGCGGTAGGAAAAAAAAATGGCACCATCACAGCCCTAGTCAATACTCAATATTCACATACCTTCAGCTCCCTCTTTCTTCTTGTTCTCCTCACCGTCTGGGTCGGGACTGTTACTAGACGAGCCCTCCTGATCCTTCTTTACTAAAAGCGCTGGATCAATCTGAGTCTTCAACAGACCAAGAATCTGAGCCAGGTCGTTTCTATTTCTGCAATGGAAAATAATGGATTTTCCCCCACAAAATCGTGCAAGTGAATGTTATCACTTATTGCCATTTGGCATCAATGTTTTAATCACAATTTAACAGCCATCCACTACAGGAAGGAAAAAATATGTTATGCATGGAAACTGATCACAGAATGCCTACCTTACTATACACTTCCAGGATGACCCATCAAGATCATCCTGTTCTTCCACATAGATCCTCACATTATGGTCTTGGTCTAGCTGAAACCAGTACATGAGGCCGTCTTTGTCTTTTCCGATTGGCTGAAGACGCATTTTATCCGGGTCCTCTTCATTGATAGCGGTCTTAAACTTGACATTGTCATCAAACTGGCATTCACACAAGTACTGTTTGAAAAACAAAACATTGTTAGGTTACAACTACTGTGTAAAAACAGAAATGTGTTGATGTGTGATGTGAGGTCCCAATGACAGACATTAAACATATCCCATCTTACCTTCAGTATTCCAGTCTTACACTCCACTGTCATCTCTCGATAACCCTTCTTTTCCAGCTCCCATGCCCATGTGGTGTTAAAATCCTGACAGATCTACAGCATCACATCAGAATTAAGCCAACAAAAAATAAAACACTGATCATGAGACCAATATATTGATTTAATACGGTCAATGGATTTTTGTGCTCACAGCTATTTACATATTTATCACTGCTGAAATAATCCATAATTCACACAGCTGTTTAAATTTGATTGTTAAAAGCAGAATGCGTGACATATTACAAGTCATTCAATGCATAAATTCATCGTTAACACTGATTGCCTTACCTTAATGAGATTCTTCTCCCATCTGTCTGCAGACACAGACTTGCCAATTTTCCTCAGCAACTTCACGTGAAGGTCCACGAGGAGTTTGGGTACTGGGGACATAAAAGTATTTCAATATTTAAGTAAAATACACAGCCATGTTTGACGCATGCATGCTTTTGTAAGGGTTGTAAGAGTGGATCTCAAACTACTGTGTCCGACTGGTCTTCAGTTCAGTTTGCGGAATAAATAAAACACCATACTAAATATTTACAAATTACACATTACGTGACTGATTAATCAATTGATAACCAGGCACTGACTGACTGTTTTAAGATAGTAATGTTTCTGTTCATCACAGTAACACAGCAAGTTTATGTAAGTGCTTGGTCCAAGCCTAGCAAAAATGATCATTCTGGTCTGCACATTATTACTTACTGTATTGTACACTGTACTATTAAATGTATGCACATTAAATTGGCACTTAAAGCAACAACACAGTGTGTGTTATACATTACTGGACATTTAATATTACTGTTGTTCTTGTAGCTGCCATGTTTATTATCATGCTTCAATAAATCAATGTATTCAATTAAATATGTTTGTGAGTGAAAGAATCTATCCATCTCTACTCTAAATGTACCATAACAGTGATGGTTTCTGCCAAAATTCAATAACAACTACATGTATTACCGCAACAAAACTAGTAATTCATTATAATAACTCCAAGTTACACACGTTAGAAGAGCATGAGATTGAGTAAATGCTAACAGAACTTAATTTTTGGATTTAATATTACTCAATGCTGTCAACAAAACAACAACAGACTATTCAGAAGGGTTTGTATACTGTTTAATCAAAAACCTGTAATCATTTATTACAGTTTGAGTGTATAACAATAATTACAACTGCACAATTTTAGCGAAAAACTATGATGTGTACACATTTGTAAGGAAACAAACTCGGAACAACTCGAGTCACTTCAGCTTGCATAACGAATACATTTATAATGCTTCAAAACCATCATAGATACAAATTAAAAGGCCGTATTGACAACTTTCACTAGTTGAACCCTCAAAATAATACATATTGTCATTTCTCCCTCGAAGCAGAGGGAGCAGGAAGTTTACACATTCTGCGCATGCGCGCTGCTCGCATCACACCAATTCATGCCAAATTATTATTTAACTATGAATAACATGAATATTTCATTTATCGCAACAAGTGCGTCGTTATATGCAAATTCAAGTGATTTCCCAATGCAAAAGGTCGCATATAAACGGAAATAAAGCAACAATTTGTTTCTGTGTGCTGTGACGAGTAAATAAAGCGGAATAAAACCTCCCGTCCTTCAAAACGCCGCATTTAACGGCAGAAACGGCACATTAGAGACGCAAACAGCGACAAAAACATCGACACTCGCTGCTGGATTACTGAGCAGTCCGTTTAAACGCATGTAAAGCGGCTAAAGAGCAACAATGGAGGAGCGGCTCACCCGCGCTGCTCTCCTGCAGACTGCGCTCCAGCATCGGGAACGACACCTCCGGCAGGTCCAGCAGAGCTCCATACCGCTCCAGAAACGAGCAGATCACGGCGAAGCTCGGGCATAATCCCGTGGAAGAACCGTCCGCTGCCTCCGAGGCAGACATTATTCCGAACCGAGCCGCTGGAGGACCACAACCTCCCCACAATGCACCGCGACTATGGCAGACACATGGCCCAGAAGCCCTTGCGCCAGAGACTCCGAACTGATGTAAACAAACCAGCAGCAGCAGCAGAGAGACAGAAAGCGGAAGAACTTGACAGGAAAAGAAACAAAGGCCCATAAACCAAAACCTCAAATGGCACAATATTCCAGATAAGAAGCAAATACGAGACCAAAAATATATATAAATAAATATTCTGTGTCCCTCTTTGAAAGTGAGAGAGAGAGGAATTGGAAGAAAGAGACAACAGTGAACGTAAAAGAAAGAGTGAAAGAGTGAAATCCAGACACTGGTGACATTTTTCCTGTTATTTAGGGAAATATATATATATATACATATATATATATATATATATATATATATATATATATATATATTTATATGTGTGTGTGTGTGTGTGTGTGTGTAGTGAATAGGTTCACTAACAAAATGAACTCATGTGCATGACAGATCTCATGTATTCACAGGACAGGTGATTTAATGAAGCTTTAACAATATCATAGGTTACCAGCAGAGGACGCTGTCAGTAAACTATATTTATGATACTTTGCTATGGGGTCCACACACATAAATTCATATAGGAGCAGAATTAATTTTTGTAAATCTTTTATTAATCCACTGAATGGACAATTTACACATTTTTAAAGATTACATTTATAGGTACGATTGGGGTCAATGCTGTCAACAAAACAACAACAGCATCCGAATGTTTTCATCCAGACCACCTCCTTCAGTATCCTGTCACATCTCAGGTTGAGTCTGACGCTGACAAACTTCCACATAATCCTCCAGGTTTCTCCCATCTTGAAAAAATAAAAAATAAAAAAGTCCCTTTGGACCAATGAACTTTTCTGGTCGGGTACTCTGTCACGTAGTTCAAGGATAAAGAAGATAGGCAAATCACTTTTACTGGTCTCAGCAAGCACAAAGTTTGTGTGAATCATCACTTCTATTTTCTTTTGGTGTAGTATTTTATTTGAGAATATGGTCAGTTCAATATGAGGCCATAATTAAGATAATCAGACAGGAGGACAGAAAGTATCTGTGTGTAGAGTACATTCAGTCATGGGATATTGCATTTAGTCCACACACTATTTGTGATGGTTAGGTCTAGGGGTGCTTCATGCTTATTTTTTTTCTAAAAATCATACATTTCCATATGAGTCACATTGTATGAATTTAAACAAAAACTTGTTTTCTTATGAGATAAGGTTGGTAGAAACAGTGTCTTCAGAGTAGAAACACACTGACCCCTTGTGTCTGAATATGCTACTGATAATGTCATGCATATTGTATTATTGTGCATTCATAAATTATCTGTACTGTTTATATTCAGATTGTGAAGTTCTAAGAAGAGGACCTATTTATGTGTTGTGTACTGAGGTGGTCTTTTTCCTTTCAATGTAGATTGGATAATGAGGAGGGCAGAGTGTGTTTAAAAAAAGCCTATTGGCTGGAGCCAAAACCATTCCAGATGCTGTGTGCCATTTAGCTAGTATTACATAAGTTTATGAGCTTGACATGTAGGTTTGTAGGTTTGTAATTGTAAGTCATTTAAATAATAAAAGTAAATTTACAGTCTTTTTTTTATCAAGAATTGTGGACTGACTAAAATTCCAGCTATTCGAGTGAATTGCCACATCATAAAATCTGCTAAAAGTCATGACAGGGCGTATTAGAAAAGTTTATGATAGGCAAGCAATCTGAAAATTATAGAAAAATCATGTGACATTTTGGTTGCTTTGAATGTGCACTGAAACATGGTCAAATCTCCTTCTGTCGTTTAAAAACTTTAGTGTTCTTTATTTCATTGCATATGAGAGAAAAAAAAAAATATATATATATATATATATGATTTAATCTGTCTATTTTCTAGCCCAGATAAGCCAGGCAATTGCTCCATGGTCATTCCTTTTCTTCATTCTTTTGACATGCAAAATGTTCCTTGCCATCCCCATAGTTATTTATGAAGAAGAGGGCACACATGACTCGAGTGCCACGGATTTCCATGTCCTCTGCCAGCTGACACAGCACTAACCTGCAGAGAATGATGAGGCATGATGGGACGGGCATATTAAGAAAAGTAAACAATCCAGCAGTGACATTAATGTGCACCACCGGCTTTAGGATTATAAACCTGGGTATTTAAAATTTAAAGAAAAAACTATTTAATTGCTTGTGCATGAAACAATAAATATAGCCTACTGTTCAAAATCAAGAAAGTAAATTTATCTATTTGGATATTTTATGGTTGTGGAAATCGATGGTTAAAGTCATTGCGAGTTCAATTAGTATGAAAAGATAGCTTGAAGCCATATTTTATCTGTCATTCTGACATTTAAAGTGTCCAAATAATTTTTGTGGGCCTGATAAATGACCACACATGGAGTACTTGCCTTTCCATTAGTGTGACCTACTGACCTTTCTTTCATTGCAGGGAGATGTGCCAGTTCCTTTCAGAGGAAATATTAATACACACGGTTGCAGCTGTCTATGGCATGCATGAATTAATGTATGTGTCTGCGTCAGTCGTGGATGGATCCGCTTTCACTATTGGGCGTTCTGAGTGTGTCTGGTGGGACACGGGGGGTTGTTTACCTCTTTCAGAAGCTGAAAGATCACAGGGTACGTCGAAGAAACTGGTTCTAGCTGGATGCAGACAACAGAGGTGGGAGTTCAAGATTACAGACCAAACAATGCAGAAAAATGTCTTGAAAATACAGAAGGTAAGAATATTACAAGGTTGTTAACCTGTGATCGTCCAGTGATCAAGGTTTACAAAGGTGCAAATCAGTGATGCAAACCCATTCAGGAGCTCATTTGTCACACAACGCTGGTGTGAGCGTTCAGGAAATATCGTAACGCAACACTTTAAATGTCCTGATCTCATGTACTCACACAAAAAGAGTTGTGATGGATATTTTGCCTTTATGTTTCCTCTGATCTTCCACCTACTGCAGCTTTGAGACGGCAGGTCAAGACAGCAAATATTTCTCACCATTTATTAAAACATGATAATGCCACTGTCACTGCAGCAGCCAAATGATAATGAATGATTATCATGTCATCATAGACTATTTTAAGTTAAGTTTCAAAATGATAGGGTAGTCTTTTGCTAACTTATTCCTCTCAGATCACCTAAGAAAAATAAATAAATATATATATATATATATTCGAAATTATTTAAAAGTAATTATTCAAGTGGCCAAGAAACTATGAACATATGAAGAGTTCAGATGCAAAAGCCTCTAAATGCCATTTTAAATTTTCTTCTTTAATGATGATTTTTATCAAACTTGTATATTTATGTTCAGTAATTTCACTTAAATAACAATTAATAGGTAATTATCATTGCCATTTAAGTGAAATCACTGAACTTAAATATTCAAGCTTGATAAAAATGATCATTCTAGAAGAAAATTTCAAATGGCACATAGAGGCTTTTGCATCTGAACTCTTCATATATATATATATATATATATATATATATATAAGATATGATATTTTTTTTTCATTGTAATGTGTAATGTCCTTAAAATATACTCTCTTTTTTATGCATTATGATCAGGTCTAGACCGGATCCGCATCCGGACTATAGGTTCCTGATTTACTATGAGCAGATGCACACATTCTTTCCCTCCCTGAGTCATGCACAGATTGGCTGTATAGGGTGGCGTTCCCCGAACAGCCTGTACAACTTTAACAAGTGTGGGCTGGACCAGGATCTTGGCACATACTGTTTTCCTCTGGCACGTGTGTCAGACATATGTACATAAAGGCGTTGGTCTCTCCAAGAAAACATGGATGGAAAAACCATTGTGTTTTTAATAAACTGATGGCAACTTTACTTGAAACACTGATCCCCTCTCTGTAAAGAGCAGAAATGAAAATGATCCCTAATATTAGGTCAAACTGGCAAGCCCCTCTCTGATAGGATGAACATATATCCAGAGTCAATCTCAGCAGCCAATGAGATCGCACTCAGATTACAGTGCAAAAGTCCCCCAGAGGTGTTTTGAGAAGTGGGGGAAAGGTGACAGAGGGATGTCTGAGGCCCATGTCAACTATTTTTGTGAAAAACAATAAACAATCAAATTAATCATTTTAAATGGACATGCACAAGAAAATATTTCCAAAATACTATATTGCTTATGTGCTACTTATAAAAAAAAAAAAAAATGAATACAAAATAAATAAATTTATAACAATCAGCCATTCTTATAATTGAATAATATTACGTGCAATTTATATAACTTAATACATACACACACACACACACACACACACACACATATATATATATATATATATATATATATATATATATTAGGGCTGTCAAATGATTAATCGCGATTAATCGCATCCAAAATAAACGTTTTTGTTTACATAATATATGTGGTTGCACTGTGTATAGTTATTATATATATATATATATATATATATATACACACACACATGCTTGTATATATTTAAGAAATATTTTCATGTATATACTGTATATAGAGTTATATAAAATGTATATTATATATAAATATTTTATATATAATTTTTTTTTTTAAATATACATGCATGTGTGTGTATTTATATATATATATGCAAAATAATTAAACACAGCGCACCCACATATATTACGTATGTAACAAAAACTTTTAGTTTGGATGTGATTAATCATGATAAAAGTACATGTCTTTCTTATCGATATGGGTGTTCCTTTAATATCGAGAACAGACAACAACCCTATGGGTGAACTACTAACTAGTAAACAAGTGTACACGTTGTCCCACCTCACAAAGATAAAATTAGAGTCGTGTGATGAAAGAAATACATGGGACTGGCTGCAACCGGCACATGCGCCTATAAATTCAGAGTTTGACAGACGTTTTCATCATACTCAAGTTGAAAACACACTCGCTGGATTAACCCTCAGATGGAAATAATTATTCTGCTTTCTCTCAGTACAATTTGGACTACCAATTTCATTTTACCACAAGGTTGGTGAGCACACTATAT